CCCCCCCCCCCCCCTTTGAAATTTGGCGGACAAGCAGCACGAGCTAATTACCTGACCCACTGGCCCCCAATGGTCAGATAGTTCCCTTCGCGCTAGCATCTCATCATCCAAGGGAGAGGCCACTACAGTACACAAGGGCGGGGACATCATGCCATGATGACAAACTAACCTTACGCATGTGCAAGAAGATGGAAACGAAGAATAATTAATTCTTCATTTCTTCACTTTTCTATTCATGGTTTTTTTTTCAAATTCTGCCATTTTCTTCTACCCAGTAGTATCTCTGCACGTCTATGTCTTCTAACTTTGACCTTCCTTCGAAGCTTCGTTCTGGCTATACCCCTAGCCCCCCTCAAGTTCTCAGCTCCACATCTATCATCACTGTAGTAGAAAAATGGCAGTCCGACTGCGCTAGCATACATCGTCAGTATCTGCTTGTCTATCGTGTTTTCCTCTCTCGCGAGTCTCTCGCGAGGGTCACACGTCCGTGTAGCGATGTATGAAAGCCGCCATGTGTAGGAGAATCTTTCTCTCTACTTGCATCCAACCATCCATGCCCCATATCATTGGAAAACCCCTCGATGAACCCGGAATTTGAATTTTCCTCACCCCCTTTCGAGGTCCGACCACGTGCCGAAAAGCAGTCAAAACATAAACGGTGGCAAAAAAAGGGGTCGCTTCGCTGTGCTGAAGGCTGCAAGTCGTCATCATCTGGAATATCATTTGCTGGATGAGGATAATGTTGTGGAAGGAGCGTTAGACTTTTAATCGTGGTCATCGTAAAGCAATGGATAACAAATTGGCTAATATGGCTGCTGTTGGTACCAGGGAAGGAGACATAGCAGGTGTTGGTGACAAGGGATCGCTCCCTGGTTTTTTCTTCGTTCAAGACCTTGCGGTCATGCCCTTCCTCTCTGTGGGTCTCTGTCTCGATAACGCCAGCCATGATAATGGTAGACAAATGGTTCTGTATAACCCGAAATGAAATGTGTACAGTGTGGCGAGGAGGGCTTGTGTACAAGTGGCAAGGATCGTAGAGGATTTGTACATATCAGTGGCGAAAGACGTCAGAAAGGACTCTCAGGAGATTCCGTTTGTGTGGTGAGACGGGTGGACTCCCTATTTCGTCGCGAGGGGGAGCGACAGACATTGGTCCGACAATCTCGCCATCACCGAGCTTGGGAAATTTGCCACTCTTGTCGTCGATGACAGGCACAGCCACTCTGGTAAGAGGTTTTTCGAGCACAGAACTCGACGTGGTGGAGCCCTGCGTCTCTGAATCACCGCTTAGGCGAGCCAGAAGCGGGGCCAGGGTGGTCCTCATAAGGTCGTGTTGCCGCTTCCAGGTGTCGTCAATCGACGCCCACTTCTCCTCGGTCAGCTTGTAGACTTTGGAAGTCGACCCGTAATGCTCGGCGGTCCTCGTTATGTGCTTAGCATAGTGTGTTCGGGCTTGATCCCAATTCTTGCGGAACTCGGTATAAGAATCCAAGTCCAGGGTCTCAGGTGTGTAGGGCTCAGGGTGTATGGTGTAGTTGGCATGACCCAGGCGAACAGCCCAAGGATCAGAAGGGTCTTCTAGAAGCTGCAACGGGGGAATTTCGCCAAAGGGGGAATTGTTCATCGTGTTTGCGCGGGATCTCGAGTGCATGGAAACCATCGAAGGTTTCGTCGACAACGGAGGGGACGGCATGCATGACAATGGCGCATCGAACGATGGTCGTGAGCTCACAACGGCGGGTGTAGGTGCAATAGCTGGTGATTGAAGAGGAGAATGGACAGGCTCTTCTCTGCCGAAGTACTCGGAGAACATGGGTGGTAACAGAGGTGTGGTAGCTTGTACCGACTCGGCGAGGTGTTCTTGTGACGTCTTCTGTTCAATGTTTATTGGTCTCACATCTGCGTCAAAGGTAGTCTCGTTCGTCGCCAACACGACTGAGGACGACGGAAGGCCACTTTCATGCCTGGAGACGGCACTCAGAGCCGGACTGCAGATCTGCGAAGAGCTTAGGGACCCTGAGCGAGAAGCGGAAGCGCTCATGTGCGTGACGATTGAGAGCTGAGGTCCAGCGGCCGATCTATTCCTCCACCGTCGCGATATTGACCCAAATTTGCTGCTGAAGCGGTGACCTTGTACTGAAGAGGGCGATTCTGTCGATCTGCGACGCGGCGTGTGATAAGGCTGGGGGCTGGCTGAAGAGTCATTGGGCGCCGCCAAGATCCAGTCGGGCTGTATCGGGGAGGTGGGAGGTGAAGCGTGGCCGTAATCACTTGAGAAAGCCTTGTCATAGTCACTCCAGTCACATGTGCCGTCGTTGACCAACGTGTAACCGTCAGACTCGTCTCTTTCCTGAGGCTCCTCGGTGACATCTTCCAACCGCTTGGCGCCTCCGAACATGTCGAGAGATTCGCGAGGGACAGGAGAGGATGCAGCCGAGGAGTTGGAACCTCGGGAAGAATGGCCTTTGGAGAACATGGAGACGGTGGGTGAGGATGTGTCGACCGAAGAGGCGGAAGAGCGAGTGGCGGGAGGCAGCGTGTCGAAAGGATATAGAGTGGTATGTTCCATGGTGAGGTACAGTAGAAGCGTGATATTATTCTTAGAGTCGAATTGAATTAGTCGAACGAGTGTTGGGGAAAGAGAGGAAATAGAATCGAAGAGGACTGAGGCTGGTCTGGGTCACGTCAGAGTCGGACAGCTGCGTGCATGATGGGCTGGTGACGGTGGTCTCAAGTGAATTGGGGAGTGGACGAGAGTGTCTTGCTCGCTTGGTGGTGAGGTAAACACCGACTGGCAAAGGTGTGGAAAAGCAGGGCAGTTCGCAGCTTTTGCTGGTGGTTGTGGTGGTGAATCCTGGGTCAATCAACGGCGACTGCTTTCAGGCCAGACTCAGATCGACTGGTCGAGGCTGAGGGAAGGACGCTCTGCCTGTCTGCGAATGTTCCATCAGTCGAGTGCCATGTGTACACACAGAAGGAGAAGTAGTGAATAGGGCAGAGGGATGTTGACAAGTCGAAGGTGAGGGAAGAGGCGTGAGTGGACAGAGGGAAAAGTTGTGTGCCATGGCCCTGGGCTCGTTGGCTGTGGCAGCAGTTGGGCCGATACCCTGTAGCGTCGCTTGTAGCCAATCCTTCGCTGAGCGCTGGTCGCTTGGGGCTTGGCCAGGGACATGGGCAAGGGTCTGACCCTGTGGGTGCCTGGGACCCTGGCTCGCCTGTAACTTTCGGCCTGGGCTAAGAGACTTTGCAAGCCCAACAGCAGCTGGGTGGCAGCCACTTCAACTGGCCAACAGCAACCAACGGCGCAGGCCCGCCTGGGATAAGAAGCCCCCGCGTCAACCCGTCAAGCCCGTCTACCGGTCCCCGGGCCTAGGATAGGAAAGCCACCAACAGCCACCGGAGGGTAACAATTGCATGGGCTCGAATCACGGCCTCGCCACAAGAACCAGCACGGGCGCCACCGACGACAGCGGGTGAAGAGACAGAACGTGGTGCGCCAAACAAAACTCGCTGCTCCCCTCCGCTACCATTCTAGTGTTCGGATCTTAGACTCACCCACACACTCAATTCACGGCGGCGCTCTGGTCTCTTTTTCCAGGGCTATCCATTTATAACTGACCGAGGTAAGAGGCGCGGGTTCGGAAGGGGAAACTGAGGTTTAATGGAGGACCGTTTGGAGTGCAAGAGAAGACGGAGCAGGTTGAGAAAGGAGCTGGTTTTGCGGGCGTTGCTGGCTTCTGCTGCGACATGTCTGAGCTTTTTGTGTGAGCTTGTAGCGTAGTTGGTGGTGTTATCTAGACACACGGGGATGTGGCCTGCAAACTAGCAAAGGGCGTTGAGGGTGAGGTTTTTGTGGCTTGTCCGCCCTTGTTTGCGGTCGGCTCTCGTCGCCCACGACCTGCTCTCTGGACTATACCTAGATGCAAAGGAAAGCTACTGCAAGAGATGTGATGGCTCAGCTGGCTTTTGCAGGTACAACGACCGGGTTATCGCATTGCGTTGTCTTGTCCGGCTTCCCCTACAGCAATGAGCCAGCAATGAGCCAGCCATGAGCAAGCAATCCTAGTGGGCGGATTGCAGCTTGGTGGCGTGTGTCCCACAACAGCAGTAAAAGACACAAGATTTTGAAAGTCCGGAGCCGCTGTTAATTGCAGCTGTCTAGCCCATGCAAGCCCATGGCACCCACCCACCACCCACCCACCACCCATGCCATACCAGACTTGTGAGATGGCGCTTGTGCCTTCACCCGTGCCGCCTTCATGCTTCCGCCCGTCCTGGAGGCTAGCACCCTCGCTGTCTAGCTAATTCTGCAAGGAACTGCCAAGGGAGATGCAGGAACGGTATCAGATATACCCAGGCGGACAAATCTGCCGGCACAGTAGCAGTCACCCAGCAGTGAGAGGCCAGGCACTTGCCAGGGTCATATTCCCATCAGGCAGGTAGGTAGCTAGGTAGCTACCTACCTTCGTCATTATCGATGCATGCATTGAAGTGATTCATTCCCTGGCCCGCTTCTCCATCTCGCAGAATTTTGCATGCGACGAGACCCAACACTTTCTGGTCCGTGGACCTCAGCGGCCACCCCTCAAATACCACAGTCCTCTGTCCTCTCTCGGACCATGCCGGACTAGGTCTCGCCCATTGGATATTTTTTTTCGTTATAGAATCCCTCTCTCTGGACCGTATGCGAAGTGTGGTGATGTGGGAAATGCAAGTGACTTAGAGCCCCCTCCTCTTCTTCGAGAGCACTACCGGTACGACTAACTACCTGGGGGCTCGTGGCACACCATGTTCGCGAGGAAGCAGGAAAGGCCATCGAAGCGAACGGCAGCTCCTCTCACGCCAAACCTGCGGCGCTACTTGCTGAGCAGCGAATCAGCTGCTTGTCAGGGTTATCCAGCAAGTGGCCCTTTCAATGCCACCTCGTGTTGTCCTTCCTCTCCATCTTTAGCTCATGGCCTTTATCGACTCCACCGTCATCGACGCTTATCGTTAATTTGTCCGAATGGCATCATTGCCCCCTGCAAAGAATGGAGAATGTATCCGCACGAGCAACAGTGTAGACTCAGCATGGATTTTCAGCATGCAGGGATGGGAGATTTGGGAAGCTGGTCAACTTCCAATCTGAAAGTGCAGTGACTCTATCTACAGGCTCGCTAGAGCGCTTCAAGGACTAGACAGTAACAGAGCGACTTTTCCAGCTCCTGTCGAAAGATGCGTAATGTCAACATCCTTCTAGTCCCCTATTCACGAGGCATCCACAGCTGTAGCTTCGGAGGTATATCTCGAATCCCCTGCCTGAACGTTTCAGCCACAACGCCTTTGAAAACCTCCCGAGACAAGACCACAGTTCCCAAAGTGCAGGGATGTCGCAATGGTTGGGGAAAGCCGCAATCAATAGTCCTCGGCGGAAAAAGTCTGTTCGATCTCCACAGTGCATGTTGACGGGGATCTCTGACCGGGGAGCGCCCGGTAAAGCAAATAGCGACTTTGGGAACCATGTCCGAAAATTGCGAGAAGTTTCCACAGGCCCATATGGGGATTCTCCTTTGGTGGGATTTCTGGAGGTCGTGCGGTTGCAATCCTTCCTTGTGTCGGAAGCTTCCTTACACCACCGTCGCTTTTTCGATAGAGGCCTCCATGTGAACAATATCGATTCAAAGGTGTGCCAGTGACTTTGCGGCAATGTGTATGGATCAATTGTCGGCGAAGGGTAGGGGAACAGGCCACAAAGAACTGTGGTCAACAACAGTCACAACATGGATGCAGTACTCACAACCGTGCCACCAAATATTATTGATACACCGTCGTGACCTCAAAAGGCAATGATGGCGATAAGGGGCCAATGATATCGCAGCCCAATGTCCCCCTTTCCGCCTACGATTGATAGGCCATTTGATTGTTGTAGGTAATGTCGCCGTAACTTTCACGCATCGGTGCTTGTGAGCAGTCTTGAACTCCCATTGCCAACGCAGTCTTTCAAGGTAGTGTGGCGAACATCCGCTATCGAATCTCTGGGATTGATGCCCTGCTGCCATGTTCCCCCAGGTAGGAAATCCTTGAGTCCAGGGTGTGCCGCTAAATGAGGTATTTGCTTCTCTGTCTTGGAAGCATACTGGATCGTGGCCATCTGTTGCGCAAATGTGTATTCGATTAAGCACCATCTCACCTGCAAAGTCATCGCATGCCACAAGAATAACACCAGCATTTTCCGTCTCCACGTGACTTTGCATTGGATATCATGATTCGTATGAATGCTTGACGTGAGACGTAGCAATATCTTGGTCCTCCTGGCTGTCGCTGCGGGGATGGGAGCAAGCCGGATAATGTAAGCTAGAACCGCAGAGTTGAGATCCTCACCTCTTGTGATGACCCATGCCTTTACCCATGTTCATTGATATCACGGTGGGACCCAAGACCAGCTCTTTCACAGGTCGATGTACGTGTGCTGTCCAAGATGCCAGTCGCTGGAGCTGGCGAAGTTGCGGGTGAGCAGCAAAACTCGTGTTATGCTGCACTGCTTTGATCAAGTCGAAAACTTTGACACCCAGTATCTTGACCAAAGCTTTTTCTGTTCCTCAGTCCCCTTAAACTACAAATCCCGTCGTGTCAGTGAGAAGCGATAGCCTTGCTGGAGGAGTGGAAAGAGGGAGGTAGCACGAGCACAACATTTCGGAGAACCTACCTCAAAGTCGACCTTATAGATATCTTCGAAGCCCTCTTCGAGACTGGGTTCTTGGAATCTCTGAATAAAGGACCGAAACGCGATACCAGGAAGTTGGGTCCGCTTTTCAGGATTCATCTGTGTATGAGCACGAGGAAGCCGTCAGCGCTTTGTACTTGATGTAGACAAATTGTGGGATGGACATCTCGAAGCCCAACAAAAGCATCAAGTCTGACGCAAGAAGCGGAACACACCGTATTTGGATTCATTGCCCTCACAGCATCGTTATGCTCTGCAAGGCGAGTCGAGGCTGTGAAGCGGACACAGCGGATAGGGACATTAAATTCACGGGCGACTTTTACCCAGTACGCCCGGGTTTCAATGTCTGCGTTTGTGTTGTCTGTCATTCCATCATGAGTGTCAGTAAGTACGAGAATAGCGCGATGCGGTGGAACCCAAAGGAAGAGGTTGACAAGATGGAGGCGTGAGGCGGGGAAGAGCGGAAGGAGAGAGTCAGGCCAGATGATAATTTGGCGCATGATGTAAAGAGTGGATATTGTCACAGGATGATCGAGGCATTGTGGTTACGACGGAATCTGGGGAAGGTCTATGACGGGTGGTGGGACAAGGGTAACAAGAGACGCTGGATAGGGTTGTACAGGAGTGACATCTCATGGAGACAGCCATATGCACGGCATTGCAGCATGACATGTCATTTTGTCCCTGTCCAGCAAATGACAAGGGTGTCACTGTAGAGGGGAAAAGGGGGAGGTTGAGCAAGCCAACACCTCGAGCAACAGGAGAATTAAACGTACCAACTGCCACGGATAGCCCTGCCTCCAAGAGCTCCTTTGCCTTCTTGATGCATTTCTCGCGCTGTACGGAAATAGCAATGTCTCAGCGTAAAACAATCTTTCCTTGACGGCCACATAAGTAGGGGCTGGCACGGTACGGTTTCGTGTCACTGCATGCAGAAAATGCTGGCACAGAAAGTGCTAGTCAGGTAAAATTCTTGGGACTTACCGTTTTGAGGATATCTTGATTGACTCTCTCATAGCCAAGGGGTTGGAGAACGTTCCAATAGAAAGTGCTTTTGCCAGCGCCGGGTGAGCCACAAAAAATCACCAACTCGTGGGGGCTGTTCTTCGTGAACGGTGCGGATACCGTGTTCTCCCCTGCGCCATTCATTGTAGAATCAGAAGGCTTTGCCGGTTCAAGAAGCTTTGACGGGTTAAAGACATGCTCATAGGGTTCAGTGGTCTCGCCGAGAAAGAATTCTTCTGGTGTGAAAAACTTGATGCCGATGTTCGCCGCAAGATCCCTGATGGCAGCGTGAGCATAGTATCTACCAATGTCATGACTTTAGTAGCGAGTACCTGTCCGACGTTGCATGATCCTTTCGTCTCTTGTCGGTCTTTTCTCTTCCGGCAGCATCACCCACATAGAACGAGTTTGCCATGTCCACAGCGCCCTCGGCCTGGAGATCGTAGTCTTCCAACATCTCCTCCCACATACCGACTCGAGGCTTGCGGTATCGGTCCTGGCCTGTTGCGGCGTAGATACTGATTGGCAAGTCGAGCTGTTTCAGAATTGAACTGGCCTGATTTTTGAAGTTTGCAAGGCTAGCCATGTCCTTTTTCAGCGTCTTGGAATTATCCTTCAAGCTGATTGCTGACTGGTTGCTGAGAATGACGACGAGATAGCCATCATCATGAAGAGATTTCAACCGGCCAGGGATTGATGGGTCCCACCATTTCCAGCTCACGGCAGATCTCGCCCATTTGTTCCCGGTATTGGGAGCCACGAGGGTATCGTCCAGATCGAAAGCCGCAATTTTGACAGGAAGTGTGCGTGGTTGGGTCGGTTTCTGGGGCACATCGTAGCGGCCGATGATGAGACTGTGGTCAACGGTCCGCCATATGAGCTTCTCCGGTTCTTTTTGTGAGGCTGGCTTGAAGAAACTGGCCACAGCCTTGCCTAGACACGGGTCAGCATTTTACAGTGGTACGACATTTCCCAGCATACTGGTAGTAGCCGATTCAATTTTGCGTTTGATGAGCGGTGGAGAGACAGAACCAGCCGGCGTAGGGGCTGATCGTTTCATTGTGTAGGACCGCCTCAGGATATTTGTGTCAAGGAGAGGGGGACGGCAACGGCGACTCAATGGAGCCAGCCATGAACGAGAAGCCAGATTCAGCGTGAACGGAAGTCTGGAATCGGCTGGTTGACAATATCACTCACTTTCTGTGCTTGGGGTGAAAGGTGAGAATCCAGAATAAAATCGACGCGACATACGCGTTTGAAAAGACGTCATTTATCCATTTATTCACGTCACGTGTACGAGCCTGAGTCCGCGTCTGCAAGGCTGCCACCACGGGCGACAAGTTTGCTCTCTAATATTTCTGTGAGTTCAAGTCCTACGTGAACTGACAGGCAGCCGCGTGTCCAGTGCCAATCTATCGCCCGGTGACAGATCGACTGCCTGCCTCAACGCTTCCTTGATGGCCAATAATTGCCGGGTTGCTCGCTCCTTGAGCTCTGGGTTGTTTCCATCCACCACATCAATGGATGCCTGGAGGATATAGCCACCAGAGCCATCCAGCTCGGGGAGATCGTCCAAGTTGGGTAAGAATGATTTGTCGGATATGGCTTCGTCTGCAGCTACTTGGGGCAGTCGTAGGACCTTGTGTAGGAAAAGAGTGGTGTCATGGTCATAGAACCTTGACCCAACGACCATGTAGCGCGAGACATAGCTGTAACTTTCGTTAGTCGTGAATCCTGCCTTTGAAAAGGGCAGAGAGGTCATACTCGTAGCCGAAATGATCAAGAAATTGGACAAAGTTGCCATCCTCCATGGGCGTCCGGGAGATCAATCTTGAGCTCACTGCCTGCTTGCCCGCGTCCGGAGTGTCCTTGAATTCAAACGTCCACGTCACGCTTTGCTTTTCCCCCCCTTGGCCACCATTGCCATTTGCCATAGTCACGTCGCCGCCGGCCTCTGCAACTCCTCCAGCCTGTTTCTCTGGCGGCAGCACCTCTCCAACTAGTTGAACATAGTAGAGCCCAGCATTGAGCATGTTCTTAACACGCTGCATATCCTGCTGCTGCTGACTGGCGAGATGAGACGCACCAATAGACTGGACGAGGTCGACCCCAGCAGGCTGGCGCGCCTTGAAGACCAGGTGGATCTCTTTGGCATCCTGGGGTTGCATACGTGCAAATCCGGCCAATTGCTGGAGCATCCGATGGTGGTCATCCTTTCGCACTTGACCGTAGAGAGCAAACTCGTGCATGGCGGCGATCGGGATTCAGGAGTTCCTGATATCCGAGGTACTGGAGGGGTTGAAGGTGTTGATTACTTGGTGGGGGATGGTTTTGATTCGATCTGCCGGTATGTCGTGCTTGGGGAGACGTGGCTCGTCGTGGCAATTGGGGTCTGTCAGGAGACACATCATCTGAGAATTGGTTGTTGATGTATTGTTGCTGGGGAATGAGCGGACATGTTCTCGAGTTTGACGGGAGGAATCTGGCTGCACAGAGCATCAGCCTTGGCGGTGATTCAAGAAGGACACATCATTGAACAAGAGAGAGTCAAGAAGTGTCACCCAGAGGCACGAGTCTATCAACCATCGGTACCTAGGTACACTTCAGACGCTCTGTACTGAAGTGGCCGGACCAGAGAGACTCGTATGCACGATATTATTACGTGGAAAAAGTTTGTTCCCGAACCGGCAAAATGATCATGAAGCTGGCCGACGCCCGACGCCCGCCGCCCTCCGTTGCCCTCAGACACGCCCTTTCACGCCTTTTCACGCCTTTCTCCGATAAACGTGGAACATTTTCGAGCTTCGCAAGCTCCCGAGCACTGAGCTAGCCCTGGGCCTCGATTTCTAAACCACCAAGCAGTTCTTCTTTCGACAAGCGCGAGATTACCTCGACTTGTTTACTCCTCTAATATATAAATCCTTGTATCTTGTTATCCCCCCACAGACAAAAAGAGCAGCCCTCACCTTTCCTACTGCGCTATTTGCCTTTTGTCCGAGCTCGGCCGCGCGCAAAAGGGCCCGCATACAAGAAATTCCAGCCCCGGATTTGAGGAAGCATTGAAAGAAGAGCCCCTGTCCAGCCCTCGCAGGTTGAAACAGAACCAACTGTGTCATACGGCCGAGGATAGATAGGACATTTGTCTACAGCTCTGGAACACCTCGTCAACGCGCAGAGTCTCGACATCTGAGCTCTACGACCACAAACCCACGATGCGCCCCTCCCTGATCCTCCGCGCTGCGCACCAGCGCACCCCCCTCATAAAATTCATTGGAAAACGCTCACCACCCAGTACATTCTCTCCCTATCCCCCCGATAGCACTTGATGCTACCCTACTAACTCACTCATCTTCCCCCCCCCGCAGAATCAGTAGACCACACTCCTCACGCCCACCCGGCCTCGCCCACGCACAGCCTCCCCGAGAGCTTCGCGACCTACCGCTCCAAAGCCCAACAGCACGGTCCCCTACGAGGCAGCGGCGGCAACAACGGCGGCGGCGGCGGTGTGCCGTCATCCTCATATACTGCCGCAGCTTCTTCGGGCTCGGCAATGTCCTACGGTGCCATCGGAGGCTCGCCAGGAAGAGCACTGGGGTCGGTCAAGCCCAAGCAGGGAGAATTCTTCGACAGAGACGAGCTGCCAGCCCGATTCCGCCGGAAGGCCTGGTCGGAAGAGGAGATCGAGGCGGTGGATAGTGCGGGAGCCAGCATGTTTGCTTGAAACGGCGAGAAGGCGAGAAGGCGAGTAAATAAGCGAATTCGGGATTCTCTTGAGCGATGGATTTTTTGCAAAGATTTTTATCAAAGAAGGCCGCTTCCTGTGTATAGAAAACCGGTGGAGCTTTCGATCCCGTGTCGCGCCCCTTTTTATCATTATTTGCCTTTCTGATTTCCCCCGAGGGTTTGTGGAGCTTCTGGGTGGCAGAGGATCTCGAATGAAGCGTGGCTTGGGTCGACGTCTGAGAGAAAGTGTTAAGAGACACGACGCACAGCACCAAGGCCAGCCTCGCCAGCCTCGCCAGCCTCTTCGACGACAGCATTCTGGCAAAAAGGCCAGGGCGACCACAAGGGCAACAGGCCCATCATCCTACAGCACTCAACAGTAATCTTTTCGTGTACAGCACAGACAGATGGCGTCTGGCACAGGCAGCAAGCACCACCAGCGCCAGGCGCGGTAGAGCCCGTGAATACATATTCTTAACACTTCCTAGGCTTTTCCCAATTCAACACATTTGATAATATGTTCCCTATGTTCATCCACTCGTCCATATCATATGTCATATACATACATGTCTTTTCGTATAGCTCAGATGATCATACCCATACATGTGACTCACCAGCGTCACGTACTCTCGTGCCACCATCCAATCGCCATGTATATCCCGGTGTATATGTAGTCAGAAAACAGTTAGAAAACATACAGATAGTGCACGTCGCGAGTATTGCGCCAAACCGCCTGGGATGATCCTGCATCCCTTGTCCTGTCCGCCGGACCTTTTATATTCGTCACATTGTCCTGCGTACCTTTGAACTTTATCCCGAGTTGCAGGCCCAGTCTTTGAGGGTGGAAGAAAAATCAAAAGCAGAGAAAAGTACAAGGGCTTCATAAAACACTGGGGCAGAAAAAAAAA